TTTTGGCTGTTTGTCCACTTCTGGACATTGGTCTTGTTCCAGTGAATTTTTTATGCATTTTTGTTTTAGAGATCTAGCTTATTTGTATGGAGACTGTTGGTTTCTGGCCTCTTAAGGCCGATATACAGTGACTTTGAAAGAAACATCCCTAATTAGACGCCTTTTACACCATGTTTGTTGTCTTGGGGCAGTAGGTCTATCCCCCCCACCACAATAGGGCCCTAGATTCCACACGGGGAAAGAGTCTATTATGAAGTTATAGGCTGAGATTGTGCTGAGTGACTCTGGCATGTTGAGAGGTACAAACGTAGTTACATACAAGTGAAGCAAATGCAATACATGAAAAAGCAGAAACACCAACGTACAATGAAATATAACAAGGGAAGAGAATAGAATATGGTGTGATCAGGAAAAATTCTCAACCTGGCTCGGTCTGTGAATCCCCTGAAAAAATTATCAATTAAATGACTTGATACCAGCGTGTCAGTCATGTCATGACAATAACTGGTTGACAAACAATGACACTAGAGTACACAACATCACTATCTCAATCCTGGGGAACTGTTATCTATCAAGTATTGTGGACTAATCTACATGCTGGTTCTTCTTCTTCATTCGCCTCTAAAAGGCCAGTTGACAAACTGTGTTGTGGTTTACAGCAAGGCTGTGATATCTGGACCCTCAGCAAACCTGTAGTTAGTCCCTTTTTATGACATGCTTTTTAAGGGGGCTGTGGGTTTATCCCCCAATGGAGCCAGAGAACCCACACAGAAAAATAACATGGGAATAAAGTTGATATCACTATTTCAATACTCAGTATTATCAATGTGTTATCTATCTGGCTTCTTAGACAGTTGTCTGTATGTATCTGATCCCACAGACAAGATTCTCAGAGTTCAACTGCTGGGGAGACGTCTGTATGTATCTGATCCCACAGACAAGATTCTCAGAGTTCAACTGCTGGGGAGACGTCTGTATGTATTTGATCCCACAGACAAGATTCTCAGAGTTCAACTGCTGGGGAGACGTCTGTATGTATCTGATCCCACAGACAAGATTCTCAGAGTTCAACTGCTGGGGAGACGTCTGTATGTATCTGATCCCACAGACAAGATTCTCAGAGTTCAACTGCTGGGGAGACGTCTGTATGTATCTGATCCCACAGACAAGATTCTCAGAGTTCAACTGCTGGGGAGACGTCTGTATGTATCTGATCCCACAGACAAGATTCTCAGAGTTCAACTGCTGGGGAGACGTCTGTATGTATCTGATCCCACAGACAAGATTCTCAGAGTTCAACTGCTGGGGAGACGTCTGTATGTATCTGATCCCACAGACAAGATTCTCAGAGTTCAACTGCTGGGGAGACAGTAATTTGTTGGTCTCCAACATGGGGGGGACGGGGGTGGGGGGGGGGGCACGTCAGGCAGTTTTTGAAAATTAGTTCACCTGCACTTGTAATGATGTTTTTTATTTTTATTTTTCAATTAATATTCAAAAAATCTTTAAAACTTTACCACAAAAATTAAAGGATGTTTTTGTTTTCATGAGCACTTTGTACATCTAATGTTAAAAAATATAACTGAATGTGTTAATACTTGCCTTTAATTATTGATTAAGATTAAATTCCTTCTCTTTTTGATCCCATTTTGTTATATTGGGGAGGGTCTTGCCATATACTGAAAAAATGTTTTTTTTTTTTTTTTACCTGAAAAAGGTTGGAGACCGCTGCAGTAATCGGACTCAACTGCGGGGAAAGGTAAGGGTTGTGTCCAAGAGGGTAATTTAAAATGGCATTTGGGGGGGGCTTGACTAACTGTCAGCAGTACAGGTGAGATTTACACAATTCAAAAGGTGCGGTTGAGATTTATTAATTTTTGTGCGGGTTTAGGCTACAGTGCATTTATTAATGTATTTAAGGACATTGGTGTCTTCTGGTATTTGAGAGATTTCTATATTTAGAGGAGGAAGATTCATATTAAGTAATGCAATTTGCAGATTAATAAACTAAAATACAATGGTCGGGAAGAATAGCACTGTAACATGGTACAATCAGGGATTACGGCAGATATTCACAGATTATCTGGAGGGGACATGATGCACACTCATCTACCAGCACACACTGCTGTTTTCTACTCAGCCAACATTTCACACAGCTAATGCTTGATATACAAGAGAGGATGGTGAATGATGAAGGACAGGCAGAAAGGATAAGAACTGTGAGGGTCTGGAAGGAAAGAATACGGATGACATAAAAATGAAAGAGTAACAGAAGACAGGTAAGAGGAAAAGTAACTGAAAGAAGAGGGGGGGAGGGAGAGGAAGAGAGGATGTGAGTGTGTGTGTCAGCAAGAGAGAAAGACAGGGGTGGGGGTTCTGACAACAGTGTGTCATTGAGAGATTGTCAAAATATCCCCCATCCACCGTAGGTCAATATAATGTAAAAGTCAATCAACAAAACATTTCAATGCCTTGAGCTCTGCTGTGTATACACGGCCTGTCCTGGGGTGATAACCCCCCATCAGCATTTGATGGGTGATTTAGTAAATACTGAACACCAGCTGAACAATTCCTGGCAGGCACATAGGGGTTGAGAACACAGTGTTCAAGCCAAACCATAAGGCAATCACTGATGTGAGAAGCCTAAGGTGCTTGACTGGATTCCATCCACAACATCAAAGTGGCTGCACAGCATAATACGGAATAGCCTGCTAGCCCTTTGTGACAGTTAATGAAAGACTTTGCTGGCAGGACAGGTAAAAATCCACAATGCTGATGATTTAAACCCGCTAGACCACAGCCAAATGTGGAGCACAGTTCTCACACACAGTGTGTACAGATATGTATAGAAGTGTTTAGACACAGAGCGACAGAAATCACAGCTCTCACATACTGTGTGTACATGCGCACAGATAGTGACAGACTCAGTGAGCGTGCTTAAGGAGATCCAAAGTGACAAACTCAGACTAGAATGGATAATTTCAATTTTGTCGATGAGTACTCTTGTTCATTCTAATTTGTTGATAAAGTAAAACCATTGGCCTACATTGTTTGTGTGTTTTTCTCTATACCTGCTTCCTTGCTGCAGTTTCATATTTACTCAGGGTGCATTTATGAGGGGGAAACTCCAGATAAAGGCAGAAAATCATTAGAACTGACTGAAACATTTCCCATTCAAAACACAACACTGAAGACCCAATCAACCCCACACAAGAAAGCAACAGACCATTGTATTTAGACTGCAAACTGGACACAAAAGACTGTGAAGCCTTATGCACAAGTAAGTCAAGACTGGAGATTCATAACCTCTCAGATGGACAGGCACAGAATCCTGAACATGTGCTACAGACATGTTGTTTGCATAGAGATCCTAGGTCTGGCCGGTTGGCACTGCAGTGTAAACTAGGGCTGTACCGAATAGTGATTTTCCCTATTCAGCCGAATACAAATAGCTGGACCAACTATTCGGCCAAATATGAATACGAATAGTGAATCATCATCATCAGGTGCTTTGCCGACTGGCATGGGCGATTATGCCTCGCCGATTTTGCGATCTCCTGCAGCATGTATTAGTTCGTGTGCTGACACACCCCATGCCATGCAACAAGACTGTCAAGAATTTTCTCTCGTTGTCTTCCTCTATCCCTCCTTCCACAGATCTTTCCAGTGGTCACCACATGTTCCATTTCCCCTTATAACATGGCCGAAAAATAATGACTGTCTCCTTCTGATATCTGTGAGTAGTTGTCCTCGGGCTCCCACCTCTTTCAAAACCTTTCGGTTGTTCTTTTTGGCTGTCCAAGGTATTTTAAGCATTCTTCTGTAAAACCACATCTTTGAGGCCTCAAGAAATTGTTTGGCCTGCCTATCGATTGTCCAAGACTTACAGCCATATGTTAAAACTGGATGTATGTAGCAAGCAAGAATTCTTTTTCTTACCTTCAGTGACAAAGATATTTTGCATAATATGTTCTTCATTTTATAAAATTCAGTTTTTGCCTGTTCTATTCTGTTTTTTATTTCAGTAATGCATCTTCCATCTGATGTTATCCATGTGCCCAGACCCTTAAATTTCTGTACTTGTCACAAAATAAAACCACCGACTTTTATTACACATTTAGGAATAATTATTTTCTTTGATACCACGATTACTTCTGTCTTCCCACTATTCAAACTGAGGCCTATTCTTCCACTTTCGTGTATAAAATAGATATTTTTTAAAAATCCATAATGTCAAACGTACGCTGAAATTTTACTTCACAAAATGCAGTACAGAATAGTAAACATTTAAAAACATTTCATGTTTTGCATCCTTCAGTCAGTCAGTCTGTGGTACCTAGGAATGAAAGTATTCTTAGTTTTATAACAAGTAACAACTTGTAAATTGTCACTGACAGCTTAGTTAATTCATGAAAGGGGCATAAGCTTTCAAAACAAACAAAAATTCGTTCCAGGTTGTCAGCATTAAGGCAGCTTCTTGTCTCACTGTAGGTATTTCCAGCTGTACTAAACAGACGTTCCCTTGGTACGCTCGTAGGTAGTGCACAAAGATAACGCTTGACAGTATGAACCAAGGTGGGAAATCCTGATATGTTTATTTTCCACCAGTCCAGAGACGGGTGTAAAGTAACCATTATTCGTATTCTGCTCGACCGCAACTATTCGGCCGAACACCGAATAGTTATTAGCTCCACTATTCGGCCCCGAAGCGAATATTCGGTACAGCCCTAGTGTAAACCAAGTTATATTGATTAGTGGAGGACATGTATGCATAAGAATCTTCATACAGGTCTGTGGCCTTATGTGCTTCACAGAGATCAGTGGCCTTATCTGAAAATCACTTCATTGACGGAGAACAAAAGGGAAAAATACGACTCTCTCCACATCAACTGAGCGGCACAAATATCTTAATAAACACAGGATAGGACTTACTGAATCTAAGCTAGGCGGTTCAAGGAGTTAAAATGGTACAGGCGATGAGGTGTCCAGTGTGAACTCACCTTTGTTGGTTCTGTAAGAACACCAGCTGGTAGAGGATGTCCACCTCCAGTGGTGTGATCTGTGAGAACTCCTGGGCCTGGTACAAGAACTCCTCTGCAATAATAAAGTAAAGTTAAAATGTGTATGCAAAAAGTAACTGAACATTGTACAACGATCAAATGCTAGTTGGTTCATTTCCATGTTTCCAGATCATCTAGCATGATCCCTTTCTGTCAGACCCCCCCCCCCCCCCCCCCCCCAGCCACCTGCCAAGGCTAAAAGTCTGGTCTGCCCTGCCATAACAGCTGAATGTCCACAAATCAAGTGTACTGTGTAACAAATCCAGCTGCACATGTGGGTTTATTTTCTGTGAAAGTGACTAAACCACAAGACTGACATCTGACTGAGCTGGTTTCACTCACCGCATAAACCATGAGGATGTTCTGAAAGAAAACAACTGCACACTCCCCCTTATCTCTGGAATAATGGATCCTGGAGAAACTGTTTTAGACATTTTAAGAATGCGGATGTCAGCTGGAAATAAAAAACAAAGCTACTTTGAACACAAATGGAATTGTCTTTCTCCTTCGTCATCTCTGTAAACATTCAACATCATAGCATTCAAGACAAGCTGACATTAGTTCTGTCTTGCTCCTCAACAGTCCAGGAAACCTATCTGCCTGCTCATTCCCAAACACACCTGAATGGCCTGGGCAAAATATTCACGTTGACTCTCACACGTGGTAGTTCACCTGCAGCAGGAGGAGGGAGAGCAGAAGGAGGTGACAAAAGAAGACGAGGAGATGAGAAGAGAAGTGTAAGATGCTACAGACAAGTGATTACCTTTGGGTAGAGGTTTAGTGGTGTCCCGACGAGTGGCACCCAGGTAGATCCTCTTGACCAGCTCGATGTTGTTGAGGAGAGAGATGAAGGCTGTGAAATAGGCATAGCTGATCTGTCGCTGGTGACCTTCACCCATGACCACCTGTTGCAAAATTTGACCAACTTTCATTACAATCACAACATCAGAAGAAATGGTCTGTGACAATTTATCTGCAGTTCTTACCATAAATCTGTTGGAAATTTGACCAACTTTCATCACAATCACAACATCAGAAGAAATGGTCTGTGACAATTTATCTGCAGTTCTCACTATAAATCTGTTGGAAATCTTTAGCAGAGGCTGATCACAACATCTTGCATCCATCTGTGATTCACCACAGAGAAATGTCCTCAGAGACCCCCCCCCTTCCCCTACAAAGCATGTCCTAGCCATGTAAGCTTTTAAAGACCAAGTATTAGAAGAAACAGTCATATGTGACACATGCCTTTTCCAATAGCCCAGTGTTTGTGCTCTTGTCCCACTAACGGCGGTATCCTTCACAAACATTACATGTAGCAGGTGCCAACTTTGTATTAAGGACAACAGAACATATGGATACTAGTATCTAAAGCTTGGTTCCTCTGAGACATACACTCTCTCCTTTTCTCTAAATCACACACAGATGGGGAAAGACAGACAGAATCTGGGAGAATATATGTGTTGGAGACAAACAGGGAGAAAGTAACAGACTGTGTGAGAGAGCACATTCAATCAGACAGGTGGGGAAAGAGAGACAGAATCTGTGTTGGAGACAAACAGGGAGAAAGTAACAGACTGTGTGAGAGAGCACACTCAATCTGACAGGTGGGGAAAGAGAAACAGAATCTGTGTTGGAGACAAACAGGGAGAGAGTAACTGACCGTGTGAGAGAGCACACTCAATCAGACAGAAACACTTACAGTGATGATGTTCTCTTTAACAAATGGAGTCAACAAGTAGCCCTTGAGACTCAGAAGAATCTCCTCGAAATCCTTGGCAGAGATGTAGCCGTTGTTGTTTTTGTCCCTTCTCCGGAAGGCCTGCCAGGCATGTTCATCGTGAAAGTCCTGCAAGAAAACAACAAACACTGCAATATAAAACCTGCCTAAAGTTGTCACAATGACTCAAGCTTGCCACACTGCACACAGGAGAGAAGGAAGACAATTCAGCCACATATACAGAGAAAAGACAGTTTGGTTAAAGGAAGACAAAAGTGACAGGTGTGTCAACAGAAGAAAGAAAAAGTCAGGCTACACATAAAAATAACTGACAGTTGGGTCAAAGACGGAAAGAACTGACAATGGGGTCAAAGATGGAAAGTTCTGACAGCTGGGTCAAAGACAGAAAAAAACTAACATTTCAGTCAAAGACAAAAAGAACTGACAGTTTGGGTCAAAGATAGAAAGAACTGACAGTTTGGGTCAAAGACAGAAAGAATTGATGGATCAAAGACGGTAATAACCGAGTCTGTGAAAGATAGAAATGACAAGAACTAACAATTCAAAGATCTGAGGAATGATAATCTGATCAATCCTGTTTTGTGCCAAATATGCCCAAGAGCACATGACACTTTCCCCCAATGAGAGTGATTGACCTGCTCACCCAGTCTCCTAATGCCATGACTGAGTACATTATAAGTCTTCAACTTTATCAAGCAAAATTTGTTGGATGACAATCTGTAGCATTTTCCACACTGTGACTTACATGAATGAGCTGTGTAAATTCTGCATAGGTGACCTTCCGTGACTTGTCCTTGCCAAAGTGCAGACGGATGAAGTCAGTTTCAAAATTGAAAGGGATTATGGTGTTGAGGGTCGTATGTTTAAGAATGTCTTCAAATTCATCTGAAAATACATTGAAAGGTTTGTAATCACTTCTAATCCAAAAAAATACGAAGTAACTCTTCTTTCTCTAATTTACTGGCTGTGAAATTAGTGGAAAGTCTGGCCATTCCACAACTTCTGAACTTTGATCTTGTTCCAGAACTTAAGTTTTCACAGATGTGGCTTACATGTATGCAGACTGTTGGTTCCTCCCATTTCAAGCAGATTCACCCAGACTTCGAAGGAAACACCCCGAACTGCAGGCTCTTTAGGGTTTAAACAAGTCAAAAACTTGGGGGCATGCATCATCCCCATAGCAACATACAGATGTGAGTCATGGACCATCTCCCATGGCACATAAGAAGGCACATATGGGCACATATGTAGAAAGATTCTCAGAATATCATGGACCAAGAAGAAAATAAATACAGACAACCTAAAATATCTTAATATGAAAGAAGATCGGCTAGTAAACAGCATCTTGTCTTGGAAACGGAAACATTTTGGCCATATCAAGCACTACGGCAGACTACAAAGAAAAGTAACAGAAGGCAAGGCACAGTATGAAGAACGAGAGACAGGGGCCGACCAGCAAGAAAATGGGCACAGGATACAAGCGACAGGATAGGAAAAGTGGAGGGAGATCTGGTGAGATCAAGTGAGTTTCGGGCAGACTGTGGTGGGAGCGATGCTCGGCAAAGGACCTGTTACATAATGAGATAAGTTCTGGTAAGTAACGGCTGTGCTGTGATACTGGCCACTGTGCTGTGATACTGACCACTGTGCTGTGATACTGGACACTGTGCTGTGATACTGGACACTGTGCTGTGATACTGACCACTGTGCTGTGACACTGACCACTGTGCTGTGATACTGACCACTGTGCTGTGATACTGACCACTGTGCTGTGATACTGACCACTGTGCTGTGATACTGGACACTGTGCTGTGATACTGGACACTGTGCTGTGATACTGACCACTGTGCTGTGATACTGGACACTGTGCTGTGATACTGGACACTGTGCTGTGATACTGACCACTGTGCTGTGATACTGACCACTGTGCTGTGATACTGACCACTGTGCTGTGATACTGACCACTGTGCTGTGATACTGACCACTGTGCTGTGATACTGACCACTGTGCTGTGATACTAACCACTGTGCTGTGATACTGACCAAATCATCCAACAAGTGCTAACTGGTCTAGAAAAAAATTGGGCTGGCATCATACACCCAAGATACTTCTACGAGTGAAAATCAGTACTCTACTTATTCACAAAATCAGCACATAACACAGGTAGTTATCTAATTATATTTAACACAAATCAAGACTCCAGGAGGTTGCACACTTTCAGCCACATGGTTTGTCTGCTGAAACGTCATCACATATTCATCTGGATTTCTAACCTGGCATCAAATCACGTCCGTAGCAGAAAAACCTGTTACCTACCACAAGTAATGAAGCCGTTTCCGTTTCTGTCGAAAATCTGAAAGGCAAGAGCATACGTGGCGTCTGGCGCACAAAGGAGAGCTTCGAATCCTTGGAACTCGGAGAAAGAGATGAGTCTGCGGACATGAAATAATTACCATATCACATATTTAAAGTATGGCAAAGTAAGTAAAATACTCATTTAGGCAAGTGGATATTCGATGCCAAACTAATATTTTATAGACAAGTCAGCATATGACAGATGATATCAACATTACTCCTCAGGACATTACCTGTTGCCCACTATGAGCTGGGTTGACGTTGGAGCCAAGTTTTTTTCCCTCCGAAGCTGCTTGGTACTCATCTGACCCCTGTCCGTGTTGGTTCCAGGGAGCCCCAATGTGGAGGGGAAAAGACTAAACTCATCTCCCCCCCCCATCACACATGTCATAAAAGTAAACTAATTAGGGGTGTTTCCTTTGAAGTTGGAGTGCAACTAACTGAGAGACAAGAACCCAAAAGGCTGCAAAACAAATAACCCACATCTGGGGAAAAAATGGATGTCCATGCAAAACCCAAGTTCTGGAACAAGATCAAGTCCATAAATGGATGACCAACCAGAACTTTTTGCTGGAGTTTACAGCTTGTTAGTCAGCAGACAGATTAACCTCATTCTACATCAAACCATTTAGTCCATAAGTGTTTGAATGCCCATTTTAGTAAATTCCCAATTAGTATTTTTAGTAAATCCCCAATTAGTAAATCCCCAATTAGTAAATCCCCAATTAGTAAATCCCCAATTAGTAAATCCCCAATTAGTAAATCCCACAGCCTGAAGGACACCAGTTTTGTGTTGGTTTCTTACTTTTCTTTGACTTCCTGCCACACCGGTTTTGTGTTGGTTTCTTACTTTTCTTTGACTTCCTGCCACACCAGTTTTGTGTTGGTTTCTTACTTTTCTTTGACTTCCTGCCACACCAGTTTTGTGTTGGTTTCTTACTTTTCTTTGACTTCCTGCCACACCAGTTTTGTGTTGGTTTCTTACTTTTCTTTGACTTCCTGCCACACCAGTTTTGTGTTGGTTTCTTACTTTTCTTTGACTTCCTGCCACACCAGTTTTGTGTTGGTTTCTTACTTTTCTTTGACTTCCTGCCACACCAGTTTTGTGTTGGTTTCTTACTTTTCTTTGACTTCCTGCCACACCAGTTTTGTGTTGGTTTCTTACTTTTCTTTGACTTCCTGCCACACCAGTTTTGTGTTGGTTTCTTACTTTTCTTTGACTTCCTGCCACACCAGTTTTGTGTTGGTTTCTTACTTTTCTTTGACTTCCTGCCACACCAGTTTTGTGTTGGTTTCTTACTTTTCTTTGACTTCCTGCCACACCAGTTTTGTGTTGGTTTCTTACTTTTCTTTGACTTCCTGCCACACCAGTTTTGTGTTGGTTTCTTACTTTTCTTTGACTTCCTGCCGGTGAAGACGCACAGACAATTTGAACCCAAGCTTCAGGTCGAAAGGTGAGCATTTAGCCACTGTGCTTTCATGGACCCCAAGAGTAGAACAAACCCACACAATATCAGCCTGTCACGGAACTTTTGGGGCTGGAGGGAAGAAAGTGAGCATCAATGGCTGACTCTCCTGCTGTCAGGCCTTTGAGGGAAGCAAGCTGTTGTTAGTTCACAGTACCCGTAAATGATTTCACAGAACTTTAAAGAATCAAATGGTTTGGTCATCTTGTCAAAATGGAACAAAATCAGCTAGCAGCTAGAGCGTACTAGCTGAGAACTGCAGACTACAAGGCAAGAGGTCAGCCAAGAAAGAGATGGGCAGAGAGAGTAAAACACTAAAGAAATGCAATAAACATGTGCTGTGCAGCTAGCCAAAGACAGGAAACTACATCTAACTCCTCTCTGTGGTGTTTTATGGCATGAGCAATAGGACAAAGGAAGAACAAGAAGAAAGCACAAAATGGTAGCACTGTGAATCTGATATTGTCAACTAAAAGAACTGAAATATAACATCACAATAACATTTCTTACCCATCCCTGGACGTATCGACACAGGACGCCAACACATTAAATGTATACGGGTCATATTTCTCTGTGTCCAGTAGCTGCAGATATCTCAGAATGAGGTCACCGTAGGTCATAAACTTTTCCGATCCCACTTGTTGCGAGGCATACTAGAGGATATTTCATAAAAACATAAGTAATTGTGTCATTGTATTCTATTTACAATCAGAATTGTTTATGTGTCAAAGGAAGCTAACAATGTTTATTTGTCAAAGGAAGCTAACATAATGTTTATGTGTCAAAGGAAGCTAACCTAATGTTTATAAACTCTCATATATTGTACAATGTTAGCTGAATAAGGTTATCTTCTGCAAATTTATCTCATAACATAAGTAGCTATCTAATTATATTAAAAACTACAGCAGATCCCAGGAGGTTCAATACTTAGTGTTCAGCCACATGATTTCTCCACTGGAATTTCATCAAAGATGCAGTAAGTCAGCTGGATTTCTATCCAGAAAGGTCTCATGCAAAGAAGCTCAACCACTTCCATACTGTCTTTCTAAGAAAAATACTGACTGAACATCAAGTGGTAAGACAGAGTCCCGGACACTGTCGTTGTGGATAGAGCCGGCATTCCCAGTTTCGATACCTTCCTGGTGCAGACACAGTTTCAATGGACAGGTCGTCACCTCATTCGTTTGCCAGACCATAAAATAATCGTTCACCGTAAGGCACAAAAAGGTAGACGCCCTCATGATGGCCAGAAAAAACAAATGCTTCATGGACACACTAAAGACATCAATTATAGCCTTTAATATGCCCGACTCGCTAACTCAGTTAAACCTGACAGCGAGGCGACTGGGTGACTAACTCCTTGTGGTCCGGATTCACACCCAGGGGTAAGCAGAAAAGCCACATTTCTCCCAGATTTATGGCATCTATCAGGAATCAAGGCGGGGCCAAAGGGTTAACAATTCATGGTTTCTGGAAATTGAAAAAAAAAAAAAAGCCTTTGATATACACCCTGACGCATGAGAGGTTGCTGAACAAGACCGGATTGTTTGGCGAACAAAAATATGAATAGGCACATGACTTATGAGGCATCTAGACCCATATAACTGGCCCTATATCTACAGACACCCCACTGCCCTAGATCCTTCCAGGCCTGTATTGGGCTTATAAGTCACCCCCGGACTCACAATCTACAGAAGTTTCAAGGAAGATGAAAGAAAAAGTGGTCATCATCACTTGTGATGGACGAACATCAAAACATCTTTTGGTGGAGTATAGACCCTCAACCAACAAGTGTCAAATCTTGCTATCCTTGTAAACTGCCACATTCAGTATTCTTAATTTTATGTGTGTTATCAGCAGTGCTGTGGCTTAGAGGCTGCTGATGGCGTGTATCAGGATCATCTGTGTCCACAGTGAATATGACTGTTTATGAAGTGGTACAAGAGTTGCACAATGGAAGAGACTAAGGTACTATTCCCAAAGACAACATCAGGTACACTCTAGCTGACCTTTACTCTGGAGACGACACACGGTTTGGAGAGAGAGAAAGAAAGAGGGGGGGAGGGGGGGGGGATAAGAACAGACATCCCAGGACTCAGGACATTCTCATAAATGCTGTCTCAATTTTTAGCAGAAGTTCCAATCCCAGTTACACCAGTAGCAGTCTGATTGTATGTCCGTCTGACCTTTAGCCTGTTAAGTATGGACCAGATGCTCTAGTCACTCTCTAATGCATTCTCCCTTCAGATTGTGATGATCCTGAAGCCTGCACTACTCTTCAGTCACTACCAAAGGGCCTTGACAACTTGAATGCCATGCAATAGTTTACCATTAAGTGGTGCAGAACCAGGCAGTCAAACTGTCATTTCCCAAAAGACATACATTTTCTGGTAGAAAATATCCAAGGACCTAGCCATCAGCGACGTACCAAACAATGCTTGCCACTCTACAGGAAGCATACATTTCTTCATCCTTTTCAGCATGCTTTGTTAGTCAGTTACAATCATGACATGAGTGTGCAAGTAGTTCTCAAACCACAGTAGGATTGCAGTGACTGCCTCCACCTCCATTATCAAACTAGATGCTGTGATATCATATACTAAGGGTACAATCTCTGTTATGTGTGAATACTATACAGAACCAGTGTCAACAACATACTACCGGCAATCGTCAACAATTACTAATCAAGCAGTGACCACACAAATCCCCTTAAGGCTTCAAAGATTCTGCAGAAAGGTGATGGTCATTCTCTGACCATATAAAATGAGTAATCTCCATTCTTTTAAAGGTACTAAAGACAAATTTTCACAGAAAGAGGCTGTCTTGTTTTAAGCCTCCTAATGAGAGGAGAGCTATCTATCCTGGCATGCAGGAAGAGGCAAACATAAACATGCACCTTCATGCCTGCTGTTGAGAAGTATGAATGCCATGTCAGTCAGCAAAGTAGATGATGATGATGATGAATCTCTTATGCTAACACGATTACATGGCCTGACAGTAAAGGTTAGTGAAGCATGTCTATGCTGTCTTCAAAAGTAAGACAGAATACACTATAACCAACTTCTCATGGGAACAGAAGTACATCTCAATGGCTGCTTCATCAGAGGACTTAACATGCATAGGAATAACCAGTGTGCATTGATACCAATTGTAATAACACAACATGATGATGTAAATACAATTTGAAATGTCAAAGGTAAATACCAAAAACTAACTTTTTTTTCAAACAAATTTCAATTTAAAACTAACTGAACACTGATACCTTCTCAAAAACAGTCCGGAGTTCCTCTGTGTCTGCTCGCTTGACCAGCTCCACACCAGACTAAGAGACGAAACAAAAGGTGCAAATACATTTACAGTGAAAGAGCAATGTGGACATCAACATGATTTTTTTATGCTGTTTTTCTGTAACTCAGTAGAGACCAGGAATGACCATGATGCTGATGATTTTAGGAATGGTAGAAAACTCTCTGATCCTGGGGTCAGTCATTCTGCATTAGCTTTAAAAGGGTTGTTAACACACTGTTTGTGGTTTACAGCTTGGCTGGACTATCTGCACTTTCAGCTCAAAACATCCCATTCTGGGAGCCATAGTAGTGTAGTGGCTAGATATTCTTCCAGCTTGAAAGTTGCTTCAAATTAAGGTGGGTTTTTTTTTTTTACAAATGACCTCCGCTTCCATCTCAACCCAGACTAAATGGATACTAGTTGAAGTCTTGTGAGGCAAAGACAGTCAATGTGATGATGATAACATTACCCACCCAAGGCTGATTGGTCTAACAAAAACATGAGTCTAGAATAAAATGCCCAATATGCCACTGGAGGGAAAAGTATCATTGACTTGCTTTTACATCAATTTTGAGCACAGCCATAATCAGCTGCCTTTTATAGGGATGAATTCAACATCTGGGCAACCACTAGCATCTACATCTGGGCAACCACTAGCATCCACATCTGGGCAACAACTAGCATCCACATCTGGGCAACAACTAGCATCCACATCTGGGCAACCACTAGCATCTACATCTGGGCAACCACTAGCATCTACATCTGGGCAACCACTAGCATCTACATCTGGGCAACCACTAGCATCCACATCTGGGCAACCACTAGCATCCACATCTGGGCAACAACAAGCATCCACATCTGGGCAACCACTAGCATCTACATCTGGGCAACCACTAGCATCCACATCTGGACAACCACTAGCATCCACATCTGGGCAACCACTAGCATCCACATCTGGACAACCACTAGCATCCACATCTGGGCAACCACTAGCATCCACATCTGGGCAACCACTAGCATCCACATCTGGACAACCACTAGCATCCACATCTGGGCAACCACTAGCATCCACATCTGGGCAACCACTAGCATCCACTTCTGGGCAAACACTAGCATCTACATCTGGGCAACCACTAGCATCCACATCTGGGCAACCACTAGCATCTACATCTGGGCAACCACTAGCATCTACATCTGGGCAACCACTAGCATCCACATCTGGGCAACAACAAGCATCCACATCTGGGCAACCACTAGCATCCATATCTGGGCAACCACTAGCATCCACATCTGGGCAACCACTAGCATCTACATCTGGGCAAACACTAGCATCCACATCTGGGCATCCACTAGCATCCACATCTGGGCAACCACTAGCATCCACATCTGGGCAACCACTAGCATCCACATCTGGACAACCACTAGCATCCACATCTGGGCAACCACTAGCATCCACATCTGGGCAACCACTAGCATCCACTTCTGGGCAAACACTAGCATCTACATCTGGGCAACCACTAGCATCCACATCTGGGCAACCACTAGCATCTACATCTGGGCAACCACTAGCATCTACATCTGGGCAACCACTAGCATCCACATCTGGGCAACCACTAGCATCCACATCTGGACAACCACTAGCATCCACATCTGGGCAACCACTAGCATCCACATCTGGGCAACCACTAGCATCCACATCTGGGCAAACACTAGCATCTACATCTGGGCAACCACTAGCATCCACATCTGGGCAACCACTAGCATCTACATCTGGGCAACCACTAGCATCCACATCTGGGCAACCACTAGCATCTACATCTGGGCAACCACTAGCATCCACATCTGGGCAACCACTAGCATCTACATCTGGGCAACCACTAGCATCCACATCTGGACAACCACTAGCATCCACATCTGGGCAACCACTAGCATCCACATCTGGGCAACCACTAGCATCCACATCTGGGCAAACACTAGCATCTACATCTGGGCAACCACTAGCATCCACATCTGGACAACCACTAGCATCCACATCTGGGCAACCACTAGCATCCACATCTGGGCAACCACTAGCATCCACATCTGGGCAACCACTAGCATCCACATCTGGGCAACCACTAGCATCCACATCTGGGCAACCACTAGCATCCACGTCTGGACAACCACTAACATTCACATATTGGTATCCACTAGCATCCACATCTGGGCAAACACTAGCATCTACATCTGGACAACCACTAGCATCCACATCTGGACAACTACTAGCATCTACATCTGGGCAACCACTAGCATCTACATCTGGGCAAACACTAGCATCCACATCTGGACAACCACTAACATTCACATATTGGTATCCACTAGCATCCACATCTGGGCAACCACTAGCATCCACATCTGGGCAACCACTAGCATCCACATCTGGGCAACCACTAGCATCTACATCTGGGCAACCACTAGCATCCACATCTGGGCAACCACTAGCATCTACATCTGGACAACCACTAGCATCCACATCCACTGTGGTCTTTTGGCTAAGAATCTATGCTGTGTTTCTGATGTCTCGTCAGAGAGAGTTTATTATGCTCCTCTTTTCTATGTCTGTTCTGAGAATCTATGTTTGTGTGTGACGTGTCACTTCCTTATGCATTGTGTGAGAATCTATGTCTGTGTCTTTTAATTTTAAACAAGTCTGGCTGAAAATTTGCATCAGTATGTGTGGGTGTGATCTCAATTGATGGATAAATTAAACAAAATATTCCAATAATGTTTTCTTCCCTGCTGATCAGTAACAATGCCACAAAGAACACATTTACTTCAGCTGGTAAAGACCACATACTTATGGGACTGTCATTACTGTAATGATTACATGTGATGTGACTTCAATTATTCAATACAGAATAATATGCATACAATACATTTTCAGTTCAGACTTGTCCAACATATAGTATAGAAATAGTATTATGGATAAAAAGAAGAATGAGTTAAAATTATAAGTCAAGGACTGGTCTGGTTAATAAAAAATTTTTGACTACTGCAGATTTGAGTATTGCTAAGTTAAATATATTTGTCTCAATAAACTCTCCCTCTTGTAGCATGTAGCGACATAAAGGTGTCAGAAAGTGGCCAAGTAATTAGTCACAGTCACACACAGCAGACCGCGGCTTGGAAAAGACAAACTTCACAGAGGGCACTTTGGCTTCACTTTTTTTATCAACACTGCACTCACCTTTTTAGACGACTCACATCGAGCTTTCTGCAGCCCAATCGGCCAAACTTTGGATACGATATCCAGTCTTTTGCTCTGTAAGTACACATGATATAAAGTTAGTGGAGTTTCTATAAAGATTAGCGGAGAACTGGAGAAACGTCACCCGGTCTAAAGAGAAAATATCTTACCGATGCTGCGTCCGCCATGTTTCACCTCTGAGGTGAAGGTCAAACTCGCGACGTATCGTCGCTTTTGATTGGTTGGAACCGGAATCCGGCACGTGATTTGTCACCGTGACCTTCAAGGTGCGACTTCTTTCGTAGAATTCGGATTTCGAATTGTTCACACTATAGTAAAATACCATCACAGGCATCGCATCTAAAAGATCAGCTACAAGAGTTAGAGGACAACCACAGAAACATGGATCGACAACATTAAAGACACTTTACATTTTCAGGCCATGGCAATAGCCAATGCCAACCAGTATAAAGTGGATCGCAAATTAGGCCTATTCCTCCCCATGACAGAAGTGGTTTATGATGATGATGTTGATAGTTTGGAGGCAAGGCAAGACGGATATACAAATTGATATCAACGTCAATGAGTGCATATAGTTCTTTTCTGTTAGGCCACCAAATCACACGAGATTAAAGGAAATCCCATAGTATTAGGGGGGGGGTTAGGTTTAGTGTTAAATAAATAGCGACTGCTGATAACCCTAACAACCCCCCTATCCCCTTTTTTTCTGGTACAAAATGTGGCGTGATGTGGTCACTTAACAGAAAATAACCTATATAGGAATGTCCCAGTTGCTGCTATGTCAATTCTTATTTCAGCTCACCCCATAACAGTGTTAGGAAAAATTTTATATTTTGGCAGATATCACAGTCTAGCTGTAAACCATAATAAAACGGGCAAGACGACACAGAAGAACGTGGTGGAGGAAAAGAAGAAGGGAGGAGGAGGATAAAGAAGAAGAAGAAGTAGAAGAAGAAGAAGAAGAAGAAGAAGAAGAAGAAGAAGAAGAAGAAGAAGAAGAAGAAGAAGAAGAAGAAGAAGAAGAAGAAGAAGAAGAAGAAGAAGAAGAAGAAGAAGAAGAAGAAGAAGAAGAAGAAGAAGTAGAAGAAGAAGAAGAAGAAGAAGAAGAAGAAGAAGAATGACGTTAGAACCATTTGCCAATTGCGCTTCAGACGGTAAAATGGACACAAGATAAACAAAAGAAAAACTATTTATACACCTAGTGTGTCGCAACAAGCGGATATGAGGACTGTGTGAACTTGACCTAACTCTCTGGTAGATGTACTCTGAATTCGAAGGAAAATCCCCAGTTTGTCTACTGTTACGACACGCTTGTTGGGGAGGCAGTGGTTCTGTTCTTATTTTCACCACAATAAGGCACAGAAACCCACACAGGTAGGTAGGGTCTTTGAACTGGTGGGAAATTACATTGTCCAAAGATTTCCCAGCCTTGTTCTAAAGAACGGCCTGTGTGCAGCCTTAGTGTGGTTTATCACAACTCCTTTTACTGTCGATGATTCTCGTCCATGAATAGGAAATGACAATACACGGGCTAAGAACACTCTTCTTCTTTTTAAAGAGTTTACCGGCTGTAAACTCCGGCGGAAGGTTTTCGCTGTTCGTTCATTTCTGATCCTAACTCTTGTTCCAGAATCTGAATTATGCATCCGTTTCACAGATCTGGCTTACTGGAATGCAAACTGTTGATGCCTCGCCGATCCGGCAGATGCGCTCCGACTTCAGAGGAAAAATCCACAATTAATCAACTTTTATAAGATGCTTTGTTTGGCAATCTATACGGGTATGCCAAGAATAGAAAAATTTTTGTGTTTAATAGAAGATACAGAACTATCGTTAGGTCAGCGTGTTTCTGTATTTTATCAACATGTGTTAAGTACGTAAGCACTAAAGAGTCAACATATGTGCAATCACAGGTCGCTAACTGTAATTCCAGACGAAGTGTAAGAATCGTCAGTGCAGATATTATCTCTAACTTGGGCTGTGTGTTTTCTCAGCGAATTTTATTTATAGCTCGTTAAAACTGCTCATGATCACACTTGCAAGAAGATTTCTGGAAAATTGCGTGTTATACTGCAACGATTTTTTGTTTCATGCAGCCTTAGAAAATCCATGATACAAAAATAGTGGTTTTTTTCCAGTCCATGGATGCTCAGGATTCTGAAACCAGCCAGTGCCTTTGATCCTTTTCCAAACATTGTAAATTAGTGGAGTGAACTTTTAGATTTTACAGTAACAATCTGAATTTCCGGTTCTAATTTTTCTGTTATCAGAGGCGTGTCTTCATAATACATTGATAAGTGAAGTGAATTTATTTGTTGTCATAAAAGAATAAGTCCTTACGTCCTTTTCAGGACATAATTTTTTGTTATTTGAAGCCCCACTCTGGCTTTTGCAAGGTGCCGCAATATAGGCAGGCTATAAAAATTGCCAAATGTCTGAACGCGGTTTCTGGGACCACTCCACGGTGATCCTCATCCGCATGGTGGCACGTTGTGTCATCGGGTGTTTATCGCTTGTGTGATGTCCTGGTGGGGTAGAAAGTCACTCACTCACTCATTTGTTGTCATTTATGTTCAACCGAGTTGAGTCAAGAAAGACATCACAGCACTCGATACATTCCCATATGCGCTCCTTTTCCATCTTCAGCAGCCAGCGTAGAGTTCTAATACCAATGGTACCGGATGCAGTCTGATTATATGTCAATCTTGCCATTCATCTGAGTGTAGTGTGCCGGTCACGCCCTCTGGTCACACCTAGGTGTATCATTCTCTCCAGGCAATGATAATAAACTTTCTTTTCTGACTTCATTACTTGTCCCCTAAGGATCTTGACCACACCCGCCTTGTCATGTATCAACTCACCACCCATAAGTGCTGATCCAACCAGTCTGTCTGCCTTGTGCAATTGTAAACATGTCCCCAATATGCAACAGTTAGTATTCCCCTTCAGTCACCATTAGCCCCCATAGTGTATCTTAATGTACTAGAAGCAAAACAGAGGGGGTATCTTGCAATAGAGGAAAGAGAAGAGTTAACTATAAAGGATAATATGGAAATCTACTCCTTGAAATCTCCTCGACTCCGAACCTACAAGAGCTATAGACAATGTCACGTGGAAAGTGGGAGTCAAAACCCAACCGCAAGCTGCTTCAGTAACAAGAAAAAAAAAAAAAGAGAAAAGTTCGTTAAGACGGGGGTAAGATAAAAAACATCTCACCCTGACAGGAAATCTTCTGTGTGGGGTCTATTATAGTGTAGCAGTAAAACCTAGGCACACTAACTAAAATAACGAGAATGTAAGTCGACAAATACAGAAACTTTATTTACTTGATGAATATAACAATAATACTTGACAAACTCCGAACACTAAGTATACTTACGAACAACAAATCAGCTATAGCGACCTGCCATCCTAGCGATAATACACACCGACATATTTCTACAGTTTAACTACTAGAGAAATTTTCCTATGGAAACATAACACCGCAGCGAAATCAGTCTGACAACGACCTTCCCCTGCGGTCGCCATACCCACACTGTCCAGCCCCAAGTGCAAGGCTACAACGGCTGGGTAGGTCTCCACAGAGTTCGCTGGTGAACAGTAGTTTTCTGGCCTATTTCATTAACTGTACATCAAATTATATTTAAGGTGCCAGCTAACTCCTCTCTAACTGCATCCCTGATGTTTACATCATTATGATCTGTCTGAGCTATAAACATATGGAGAAAAGCCTCCTCTTTCTCCTTGTTTGTTGTCATAAGAACACCACTGTCTCTATAAATTGTTCCCACTGTCAAAGGTCGATCTTTTCTTTGCATCTGCCTTTGCAGTTTCCAGAATTTCCCCAATTTTTGTATAGCCTCCCATATCATTCACAAAAGTTTCCCACTTTGCTCTTTTGGCCTCTGCAGCACAGCGCTTGAAAACCTCCACCTTATCTCTTTTCACATTTTCCGCCATCTCCACTTCCTCTCGTGAGCTTGAGGGTGTCTGCCGTACTTTCTTTAGCTTCTTTACTGCAGCTCTCTTTGCCTTCCACGCCTGTTCTACTTCTGGAGTCCACCGTGGGGGCTGTAGAAAATTAATTCTGGCAAATCTGTTTCATGCTCCCTGTCTGAGGCGTCCAAGTAAGTTGTTGGTCCACTTATACCAGAAGGTCTTGTGTGCTCTGACAGCCTCAACCTTACTGGTTTTAGAAATCGGGACTGAACATGGCAGATGATCACTCCCATGGTCATTCAGGACAGTCCATTTTACATCTAAAACCGACGACTGGGAGATAAATGTCAATCAATGGCTGTGTCTGATCGCCAGACTTCATTGCTATCCTAGTCGGCCTTCCATCATTGATGCTGACCATATCAGAGTCAGCCATGACCTCTGCAAGAGCAATTCCCTGTCGGTTTTCTCCACTGCTGTCCCATTCTCTGTTCCTCGCGTTCGTCCCCTCTGACAAAACAGTCTACCGTGGCATTTATATTTCTGAGGTTCCAACTTAAACCACTAATCTCCACCTGTATCCCTTAAATCTCTCTTCCGCTGTGGTTCCACAGTTCAAGCAACACATGCTTCACTCTTTCCTTTACCACCAGACCGTGTCCATGTCTCTCCTGCCCAACAGGGTTTATATAACTGACGTATCCAGGGAAATGATATCTGTCTGTATTTACCTCCTGGAGCATCATAACATCAAAATAAAAAAATCAACTTCTCCAGTATAGGACCTCTCTGCCTAGCACTCCGATAGTTCCAGTATCCTACTCTTACGTGATTGAAGCCCAATCTCTCCGCTTTTTCTGTAGCTCAATTTGTGTACAAATCTATTCGATAACAGTTGCCACCACCGATCGGCCATGCCAGACTCAGAAAAACGGGAATTCCCGTTTGAGCTGTACGCCCTATATGTGGAGCTGGCCGTGAACTGTTATACATTAGATAGGACTCGCAATCTATTCTTCCATTCAACTCTCAATCTCGCAGTCTGTTCTTCCATTCTACTCTCAATCTATTGTATAAAATCCCCTTCAGCGCTTTGACCTCTCCCATCAGCAGTCACCTCAGGATTTCTCTTTAAACGTCCTCATTTCCTTGATACAATTTTTCAATTTCAATGCCTGTTATGTGATTATCTGTCCCTTTCCTTTTATAATATATTTCCAGGGACCTT